TTAATAAGGCTGGCTAATGGTTTATCTATGTTATGAATTCTCTCAAAGAACCAACTCCTGGTTTTGTTAATCTGTTCCACAGTTCTTCTGGTCTCTATTTCACTGAGTTCTGCTTGAATCTTTATTAACTCTCTTCTTCTGCTGGGTGTAGGATCTATTTGCTGTTTTTTCTCCAGCTCCTTTAGGTGCAAGGTTAGCTTTTGTATTTGAGTTATTTCCAGTTTTTGAATGGATGCTTGTTTTGCGATGTATTTCCCCCTCAGGACTGCTTTTGATGTATCCCTAAGATTTTGAATGGTTGTATCTTCATTCTCATTTGTTTCCATGAATCTTTTTATTTCTTCTCTAATTTCCTGGTTGACCCTTCATCTTTGAGCAGGATGGTCCTTAACCTCCACGTGCTTGAAATCCTTCCAAACTTCTTCTTGTGATTTAGTTCCAATTTCAAAGCATTATGGTCTGAAAATATGCAGGGGATGATCCCAATCTTTTGGTATCGGTTAAGACCTAATTTGTGACCCAGTATGTGGTCTATTCTGGAGAAAGTTCCAGGTGCACTTGAGAAGAATGTGTATTCAGTTGGGTTTGCATGTAAAGTTGTGTAAATATCTGTGAAATCCATCTGTTCCAGTGTATCATTAACGCTCTTGTTTCTTTGCAGATGTTGTGCTTAGAATACCTGTCGATTGTAGAAAGCGCTACTTTCAAGTCTCCAAGTATAAGTGTATTATTATCTAAGCATGTCTTAACTTTGATTATTAATTGATTGATAGGCAAGCAGCTCCCACATTCGGGGCATAAATGTTGATGATTGTTATGATCCTGTTGTTGGATAGATCCTTTAAGTATGATATAGTGTTCTTCTTCATCTCTTATTACAGTCTTTGGGATAAACTTTAATATCTGATATAAGGATGGCTACCCCTGCTTTATTTTGAGGACCATTTGAATGGTAATTGGTTCTCCACCCTTTCATTTTCAGGCTGTAGGTGGCCTTAGGTCTAAAATGAGTCTTTTGTAGACAGCAGATAGATGGGTCTTGCTTTTTTATCCAGTCTGAAACCCTGCATCTTTTGATGGGATCATTTAGCCCATTCACATTCAGAGTTACTCTAGAAAGATATGAATTCATTGTCACCTGGGCACGTGCTGGAGCCCTTTAGGGAGCTCGGCAGTGGTGTGTGGCATGCTCTCCCCAGTGCAGTTCTTCTGTTAGTGCCCCTGGGAGCCTGAGGGCAACCCCGCCCCTCCTGGGATCCTACCCAAGTTCCCTAGTAGCGTCTTTTGGTCCAAGAAGATTGGTAAACCTCCTTTTCTCCGGGACTGGGCTTTCCTGTCCTGCAAGCACTCACCACATGGCCTTAGCCCCGCTTCTAGTGGGGCCCCTCCCCCTTGGATGCTTTTTTCTTTCTTTTTTTTTTTTTCCGTCTTCCTACCTTGATAGAAACCCGAACTCTTCTCAGTGTAGCATTCCAGCTGTTCTCTCTTTAAATCTCAGGCCAAATTCGTAGGTTTTCAGGATGATTTGAAAGTTATCTAGGTAATTTGGTGGGGACAGGTGACTTGCGGACCCTACTCTTCCAGCATCTTGCCTAAAATTGTGCTTCTCAGTTAGTTTCAATGTCCATTCACGTTCAGAGTTACTATTGAAAGATATTAGTTTAGTGTCATCATGATATCTATTCAGTCCCTGTTTTTGTGAATTGTTCCATTGCACTTCTTCTTAAAGGGGAATTTTAAGAGTCTCCCTTAAAATTTTTTGCAGAGCTGGTTTGGTGGTCACATATTCTTTCAGTTCCTGCCTGTCTTGGAAGCTCTTTATCTCTCCTTCTCTTAATGAGAGCCTTGCTGGATAAAGTATTCTTGGCTGCAGGTTCTTCTCATTTAGGACCCTGAATGTATCCTGCCAGCCTTTTCTGGCCTGCCAGGTCTCTGTGGAGAGGTCTGCTGTTAATCTGATATTTCTCCCCATATAAGTTAGGGATCTCTTGTTTCTTGCTGCTTTAAGGATCTTCTCTTTATCTTTGGAATTTGCAAGCTTAACTATTAAATGTCGAGGTGTTGAACAGTTTTTTATTGATTTTAGGGGGGGATCTCTCTATTTCCTGGATCTGAATGCCTGTTTCCCTTCCCAGATTAGGAAAGTTTTCAGCTATGATTTGTTCAAATACATATTCTGGACCTCTGTCCCTTTCTGCACCCTCGGGAACCCCAATTAAACGTAGGTTTTTCTTCCTCAGGCTGTCACTTATTTCCCTTAATCTATCCTCATGGTCTTTTAATTGTTTGTCTCTTTTTTCCTCAGTTTCCCTCTTTGCCATCAACTTGTCTTCTATGTCAGTCACTCGTTCTTCCACCTCGTTAACCCTCGTCGTTAAGACCTCTAGTTTGGATTGCATCTCATTCAATTGATTTTTAATTTCTGCCTGATTAGATCTAAATTCTGCAGTCATGAAGTCTCTTGAGTCCTTTATACTTTTTTCTAGAGCCACCAGTAGCTTTATAATAGTGCTTCTGAATTGGCTTTCTGACAGTGAATTGTAATCCAAATTTTGTAACTCTGTGGGAGAGAGGACTGTTTCTGATTCTTTCTTTTGAGGTGAGGTTTTCCTTCTAGTCATTTTGGTCCGTGCAGAGTGGCCAAAAACATGTTGTATTGGGAAAAGAATAAAAAGAGAGAAGAGAAAGAAGGAAAGAAAAAGAAAAAAAGAAAAAAGAAGAAAAGTAAGGGGGGGAGCAAACAGAAATCAAAAAACAAAAAAACAAGGGGAAGTATCCTCTGATTCTGTATACTGTAAATCCCTTGACTTCCCCTGGGACTTTCCAGTGCTGTTTGGTCAATAATTTTTTTCCCCTGTCCGTCTAGCTGGTCTTCTGGGGGAGGGGCCTGCTGTGCTCATTTTCAGGTGTTAGCCCTTGGGGCAGCTGCTCAGCCCCCTGCCTGGTGCAGAGCTCAGTGAAAGATGCTTAAGCTGTTTATCTGGTGAGGCCACAGTGAGGCTCAGTGGGCGTTTTTTACCCTGTGAGGCCCCAGGAGGAACAACCACAGCACCGGCGGCCAGCTCTCCAGCCCTGGATTCAGCTCCTGCAGTAACTATGGAGGGCCTGGATGCTCCGGTGCGCGGGGCCACTGAAATGCTCAGCTCGGGGCAGGAGTGTCCTTGCTGTCCTGGGCCCTCCCGGCCTCTGCCTGTCCCAGGGAGAGGCCGGATCTTGGGTTGTTTCCCTGGTGCCCTGTGCTCCCCGGCCTGAGCTGTTGGAATCGTGCTCCCGGCGGTGCAGCCCCCTCCGCACGGTCAATTAATTTCAATGAAGTCCAAGTTAACTCATTTTTCTTCAGTATTATCCAGAATATACTCCTTAAATATAAAAAAAATGGAAAGATGCTACTTATCAACTCCAACCAAATTTCAGTTGAAATTTTTTGGGAAGTCTAGAAGTTTAGTTTTTCTCTACAGTTTTTTTTACCAAAAACTTTATGAAAAAATGAAATTATTCCTAGCTATATAAGAAAAAATTCCCCACCTCTGAGGATGTTCATTTTCTAATTGTTTTTCAGACGTTAAAATTGCACCATGAATTGCTGAGTCAATTCTATTTACACAACAATTTGTATCTGTGGCAGTTGCTATTAAAAATATCTTTTTGGAATCAGAGCTCAGTAGATAGCTTAAGTTAACCAAGAAACACCAATAAGGGAGACTATTTCCACCTTCCATTTTTATATCCATTCTGGTTGTTTTTCAGACAAGCTTTAGGGAGCTGACTATGAATCTCTGCCTTCTGGGGTTGGGAGACTGGGTCTATCCTACTCTGTTTCAAGACTGCTGTGCCTTACACAGAAACATAGGAAGAGAGTTCTAATTGAACAATTAATAAGAACCATGGTAAAATGATGTACTTAAAATGCAAAGTTAAAACCATTGAATTGAACCACTAAAAAGTGCATTTGTATACCGAAAATGTGCATGTACATTCCAGACAGCAACAGAGCAATGCCGTAAACAACTCCACAAAAATAATAATAATAATAATAATAATAATAATAATAATAACAGATAAAAGAATACATGTACTTTAGTGGTCTTAGGACCATAAATGCAGCCTAATGTCATTTTTTAGTATCATAAGAAGAGTTCAGCTACCTTTGGGAATCTTACCCAAGAAATTCTCTATTGTTATACTGGTTACTGATAGATTTCTGTTATGCTATCATTCACTACTAAGTTATTCTACTTACTTTAAACTCTTTTTGGAAATTAGGAAACTAGATTTGGTGGCTCATAGGCAAGGTAGAATATTCATAAACAGTAGACAGCATTTGTTCCATGACCAATAAGGTGATCTGATTTATTAAGACCACCAACAGGGTGTAAAACTGGCAAAGAGAAGGGGAGAATCACTTGCCAGAGGTCCTCAAAATTCTGGCTAATGACCTAGAATCAAGCACATTGCTATCTGGAAAGTGAATTCAATCAATTTTGTAATTCCATGAGATCTCCTGCAGCCACTAGGCAATTTAAAAATATCAATACCTGGGTTCAAATATCTCCAGTAAGGGGAGAAAATATAAAGGTTAGTATCAAGAACTCTATGACTTAGATGAGTTTGGCATGTTTCCTGGAAATGGAGACTCAGTAGGCAACATCCTGAATAGACTACTTAAACTTTAGTTATTATAATGATTTGTAATAGGGCACACATGGATATTTCCTGAACGGAGTCTTCACCAAAACTAGGTAAAGACTATATGGCCAGATAAGGGATCCTAATGAAGCAAACTTTTACTTATCTTTTTGCATGGACAGAATCTGCTTTTGAATGAATTGATAGAGTAGACATCTCCTGTTTGTGGGGTCTGTGTGCAGTACTTAAACTTGAAGCTATGTACACCTTAATTACTGAAAACTGCTTTTCACCATGAGAAAAGCCTTTGAGGCTGGGTGGATGATATTTTAATAATATTAATAATATTAACAAAATTAATAATATTAACCTGAGTGCTTACTTCAGCAGCACTTATACTAATATTAGGACAATGCAGAGAATATTAGCATGGCTCTTGCACAAGGATGACATGCAAATTCATGATGCATTCGGATTTTTTAAAAATAATAATATTATTAACATAAATACTAGCTATATTTATTGAGGTACATAGTTGGCACCTCTCACTGTGCTGAGTGCTTTACACACATTATTTCTTAAGCTAATCCATCCAAAGCACTAAGTCGGTGTTACGCAAAATGTAGTCTTTGAAACAGTGCTGATAATGAACCGTTCCCAGTCCGTGATAAGTATAGAAACTGAGTTTACAAACTATAACCACATTGAAAGTGTCACAACGTCCTAGGAAGTGCTTGTCTCATTGCATTGGTATTCATTAGTTCAGGTGTTGTTGATGAATTAAGGTGACAAGTTGCTTTTATACAAACTGTGTTATAGTCACACTCAATAGGACTACATTACAACATGATATTTTAAGATCAGTTAATCAATTGAAATGCAAACTAAAATATGAAACCCAATTCCTTCATTGAAAGATGATTCTGGGGATCCCTGAGTGGCTCAACAGTTTGGTCCCTGCCTTCGGCCCAGGGTGTGATCCTGGAGTCCCGGGATCGAGTCCCACACTGGGCTCCCTGCATGGAGCCTGCTTCTCCCTCTGCCTGTCTGCCTCTCTCTATATCTCTCATGAATAAATAAGTAAAATCTTAAAAAAAAGAAAGATAATTCTACCATAATTTTACAGGTTAAAAATTTTGAATTGGGTATCAATGAAACCTTGAAATTAAATTTTGAAATAGTAAAAAAATTTTGAAATAATAAAATCATTCATTTCATTTTGAGTAAAAGTTAAAATAAATAACTTGACCTTGCTGAAATTACTTTAAAATCTTTTACTCCTATCAGCATACTTATATGAGAAGCATTCCTCTACTATGCTATATTAAAAAAAAACATAGAGTCACATGCAGTATTACTTGCAAGTAGCATTGTCATCAATACAGACTAGATCATGCAAGTTAATTAGCCAGAAGCAAGCTCATTTGTCACATTATAAACTTTAGATATTGATATACACAGTGTCTTTCTTTTTTTAAATGCTTTTTTATTTTTATTTTTTTACACAGTGTCTTTCAAAGTGCAGATAGGTATCTCCTACAGGGATTCACTATTTTACTCAAGTAATCATTAATTGCCCATACTTGCAGTTTCAAAGAATTATATACAGGTTTTGTAATTAATTTATTTTTCTTACATTTGTTCTCATATGTAATAAAATATATAATTTCATATTCATTAACTCTAATGAAGATGTGGTCTTGTATTTTGTATTCATTTTTAGTAATTAATGTTATTGTATTTTCTAAAAGTATTTAGTTAATGGTGAATTAAGCGTTTAAAAATATCTAACTCTTCATCAGAGTTTAACAAGTACTCCACTAAATTCAATGCATAGAGCAAATTCTCAGTAATATGATGATGACCATGATCTCATCTCTCATGTGACTATAATGGAAGCCTAGTGAAAATGTAACTGTAATTATCGTCACACTTCAAATAGGAAAATTTAGATTTAAGGAAGTTAAACAACTGGTTCAGTGTCATACAACTGAGTGATAAAAGCCAAGAATCAGACCTAGGTCTGTCTGCTTTTCAAAGCTCATTTTCTCATCCACTACCACTATGATGCCTTTCCTTTGTAAACATGCATGCACTTATAATGCCAAAGTTATAGAAAATTTCCGAGTATGGAGATAAAGGCCAAACAAGTTTTTCCTCCCAAATCACTGGAGAGTAAGTTGCCAACATGATGTCTCATCAACCCTGAATATTTTATGTTGTATTTTCTGACATAAAGGCATTGTCCTATATTACCACAATACAAACATCAAAATCAGGAAATTAATGTTGCTATATCACAATTTTTTCAGATCCCAAATCACGTTCCTCAGTCATCCCAACAGTATCCTTCACAGCAAAAGGATCCACTTCACAATCATGCACTGCATTTGGTTTTCATACCACTTTAATTTCTTTACTGGAACAGTTTCTGGAACTTTACCTTCACGACCTTTATAATTTTAATGATTGTCGGTCAGTTATTTTTTAATAAAAATATTTTATTTATTTATTTGACAGAGAGCACAAGCAGAGGGAGCAGCAGACAGAGGGAGAAGCAGGCTCCCTTCTGAGCAGAGAGCCTATTGAGAGCAGAGAGCTGGTTTTACCAGCTTGAATTTCCACCGGCGGGGCATGATAGTTCTTTTTTCTTAATATTGTTACCAACATTTGTTATTTCTTATCTTTTTTATTTCAACCATTCTGACAAGTGTGAGATGATCGCTCATTGTGGTTTTGATTTGCATTTCCCTAATGATAAACGATGTTGAGCATATTTTAATGTCTGTTGGCCACCTCTGTGTCTTCTTTGGAAAAATGTCTGTTCATGTCTTCTGCCCATTTTTAATTAGATTATTTGTTTTTCTGGTGTTAAGTTGTATAAGTTCTTTATATGTTTTGGATACACCCCCTTACCGGATATATCATTTGCAAATATCTTCTCCCATTCAGTGGCTTGTCCTTTTGTTTTGTTGATGATTTCCTTCACTGTGCAAAAAGGTTTTATCTTTGTGTATTACCAGTAGTTTGATTTTGCTTTTGTTTCCCTTGCGTCAGAAGACACAACTAGAAAAATGTTTCTACGGCTAATATCAAAGATATTACTGCCTATGTTTTCTTCTAGGAATTTTATAGTTTCAGGTCTCCCATATAGGTCTTTAATACATTTTGAGTTTATTTTTGTGTATGATGTAACAAAGTGGTCCGGCTTCATTATTTTCCATGTAGCTGTCCAGTTTTGCCAACATCATTTGTTGAAGAGAGTTTTTCCCATTGTATATTCTTATCTCCTTTGTCGTAAAATAATTGGCCATATAATTGTGGGTTTATTTCTGAGCACTCTATTCTGTTACATTGATCATTGTGTCTATTTTTGTACCAGTACCATACTGTGTTAATTACTATAGATTTATATATAGTATATCTTGAAATCTGGAATTGTGATACCTCTAGCTTTGTCCTTCTTTCTCAAGATTGCTATGGCTATTCAGGATCTTTGTGGCTCAATACAAATTTTTAGAATTATTAGTTCAATTTCTAAGAAAAATGATGTTGATATTTTGATAAGAATTACATTAAACTGTAGATTGTTTTGGTTAGTATTGAAATTTTAAGAATATTAATTTTCACAATCCATAAGCATGAAATATCTGCCCATTGTGTCATCTTCAATTCTTTCCTCATGAATTATAGTTTTCAGAATGCATTTAACCTCCTTGGATAAGTGTTATTCCTGAGTGTTTTATTATTTTTCATGCAATTGTAAGTGGGATTGCTTTAACTTTTTTTCTGCTACCTCATTCTTATTGTATAAAGATACAACAGATTTCTATGTATTGATTTTTGTGTCTTGTAACTTTACTGAATTTATCAATTCTAGTCATTTTTAGTGGAGTCTATATAGAATCTAGAGTACCATGTTATCTGCAAATAGTGAAAGTTTTACTTCTTCCTTACCAATTTGGTTGCCTTTTACTCCTTTTTCTTATATGATTGCTGTGGCTAGGACTTGTAGTACCATGTTGAATAAAAGCGGTGAGAGTGAACATTATTGTCTTGTTCCTGATCTTAGAGTTTATAAAGCTTAGTTTTTCACTATTGAGTATGATGTTAGCCATGTATTTTTCATTTATGGCCTTTATTATGTTGAGGTATGTTCCTTGTAACCCACTTTTTTCAAAGCTTTTATCATGGCTGTACTTTTTCAGATTTTTTCTGCATCTATGGAAATGATCATATAGTTTTTATCCTTTCTCTTTTTAATATTGTGTATCACATTGATTGATTTATAAATATTGAACTACCTCACATTTCAGGAATAAATTTGAATGATTGTGGTAAATGATTTTTAATATATTTTTAAATTTGGTTTGCTAATACTTTATTAAGGATTTTTGAATCAATATTAGAGATGTTGGCCTGTAGTTTTCATTTCTTGTAGTGTCTTTATCTGGTTTGGGTATCAGGGTAATGCTGGCATCATACAATGAATTTGGAAGCTTTCTTCCTCTTCTATTTTTTGGAAGACCTTGAGAAAATTAAGTATAAACTCTTCAAAATTTTGATAGAATTCATCTGCAAAGCCATCTGTCCTGAACATTTGCTTGTTGGGATTTTTTTGATTACTGATTCAATTTCATTGCTGGTAATCATCTGTTCAAATTTTCTATTTCTTCTTGATTCAGCTTCGGGAGGTTATATGTTTCTAGAAATTCTTTCATTTCTTCTAGGTTGTCCAACTTGTTGGCATATAAATTTTCATAAAATTGTCCTATAATCCTTTATACTCTGTGGTATTGATTGTTATTTCTCCTCTTTAATCTCTGTTTTTATTTATTTGAGTCCTCTCTTTTTTAGTAAGTCTGAGGTTTATCAATTTTGTTGATCTTTGAAGAGAACTAGCTCCTGGTTTCATTGATCTGTTCTATTGTTTTGTTTGTTTGTTTGTTTTAGTTTCTATTTCATTTATTGCTGTTCTAATCTGTATTACCTCCCTCCTTCTACTGGCTTTGGTTTTCATGCTTTTTCTATTTCCTTTAAGTGTATGGTTAGGTTGTTCTTTTGAAAATATTCTTGCTCCTTGAGTTAGGCCTGTATTGCTATAATCTTCCCTCTTAGAAGAGCTTTAGCTGCATCCTGAAGATTTCAGATGATTCTGTTTTCATTTTCCCTTGTCTCAATGTTTTTTTAAATTTTCTTTTTGATTTCTTAGCTGAATTATTCATTGTTTAGTAGCATGTTATTTACTATCCATATATTTGTTCCAGGTTTTTTTCTTGTGGCTGATTTTTAGTTTTATAGCATTGTGGTCAAAAAGAAGTATGATATGATTTTAAGCTCTTTTAATTTATTGACTTGTTTTGTGGCCTAGCACATGATCTATTCTGGAGAATTCTCCATGTACACTTCAAAAAACTGTATTCCACTGGTTTTGGATGGAATGTTCTGAATAATCTGTTAGGTTCATTTGGTCCAAATGTC